ACCCTCGGAGCCAGGTCAGTTGATGATCGGTGATCAGTCGCCATCATCGGAGAATTAAGCAATCGCGCCAAATTGAAATTTGAATCGCCAACTTCTCTCTAGAAAACCTCGTACCAACTTACAAATCTTCTAGAGTTGTAAGCATCATTGAGTAATATGTTTGTTGGGGATAGAATTTATAGCTAATGACAGAGATGTTATTACATTCCTCTGCATATATTTTGTGCTTTATTCATGAATATCATCTCCATTGCAATTATCCCTACTCATTATGTTCATATTACTTGCTGCTTATGAATAAGAAGGATTTCATCCACAACAAACCATTGATGTTTATTTGAGCGTTTTGAATTGTTATTTAGCATTTTTTTTAATTTTATAATGCGTTTATTAGTTTGAGGTCTAGTTCCCTATTGTTTGTGTTCAAGTAAAGTCCCCTGTGCTTAGTTCAAGTCTTGTGCATTTTCACTTTGAATTTGAATTTTGATAGCACCCAAGCGTCTCCCTCATTTATGAAATTTTTTGGGAGCAGGGCCTTCCCACCACGCTAGAGAAAAGTGTGTAGGTGTCGGGCGACACCACGGTCATAGTCTTCAATCCCATCACACCAGAGAAAGGTGTGCATGGGACTTATGTAGTACCTGTTTGAGATGCACAGTTCTTTTCCCGCAGGTGTATGAGTATTTAGAGTTGTCCACCCCATGTTAGAAAAAAGCGTGTAAAGGGCATCCCCGCCTAGCCCCAAGCATTGCACCAGATTCCCTCCCACCAAGCTAGAGAAAAATGTGTATATGTGATTTTTTCAGTATGCCGCGAGCGCCAAAAATAGGATTTGAGGATTTTCTGGGGCAAGCGAGTGACAACAGTGATGTTGGCACGAGAATCAGAACAAAAGATTCTTCTTTTTCTATTTTTCTCTATTTGCTTTTTTTTATTATCTTCTTTTTTTAATAGTACTAATAAAAATAATATTAATATTAATATTAATATTAATAGTGATATTAATATTAATTAACTAATTTATAATAGCAATTAAATGTAACAATTAATAGTAATAATCATAGAGGGGCTGGTTTGGTGGGTTATCGGATGAGATGTGAGAGTGGTAGCAGTTTATGTGGAGAAGAAATATTGTGAAAGAAACTTGGGTGAGGGAGATGTTTGAGTCTTTGAATGATAAGGTGAAGCAATAGGTTGTTGTGTGGGTTGGAGAATATGATCTGTTGTTGAAAGGTGTTGAGGGGGTGGGAAGTCAGATCAGATCTGCGGCTAGTGTAGAAGGCATTAGATTTTGGGTGCTATTGATAGTTAGAATACAACGGCGAAGTTTGTTTAACGATCGGACGTTGTTTGAATAATGTTGTGCATTGATTTCGGATGTTGATAGTCAAATTTGGCCGTTTTTGTCTGATTTGATTGTAAGGTGGTCCCACAGGCAAATTCGACCTTCTGATTGCACTGACGCAGTCCGTTTGGCAATCAGATGTTATTTGACCTTTCAAGTGACTCGCTACGCTAACGCGCACATCACTTAAATCGCCGATTTTTCCTCTTTTTGTGCGTATTTTAATATATGGGTCAACATCCAGTCATACAATGTTGAAACCATAGCTCACATGTGGTTGGACTATGAAGCACTAACGTCAATATGAGATTATATTATAGAAATTTGGAAAATAGAAACCCTTGATAAAATAAGACATGCATTACACACAAAGAATATTGTTGAAGGATAATTTATGGTATACACACAAATATGCAGATGATGTTCCAGAGGCATGCATGAATGCACATACGGACTATATAAACACAGTAATGTTAAAGTAAAAAACAAATATCATTTAAAATATCAATTTTTTTTTTAAATTATTTAAAATTGTATTCTGAATACTCATCACACAAAAAAGAATCAACTGATTGTTTCAGCAAGCAGCATTCATTGCTGTGCACCAAAGGTCATAGCCTGCTCCAGCCACAAATCTTCTAGAGCTAAAAGAGCGTTAGAACAGCAGTCCTGACATCCATGCAATGACGTTTGCAAGGCTTAGCTATGTTGAAGTGTCCATAAGACAATTTCCTACCACAATGTTTTTTTCTCAAAGAAAGAAATTTTAAACATGTTTTGTGCATGCTCGAATCATGTAGAAGACACATCAATATCCCACACCAACACAAGAGGCCTGTTAAAGTGTCAATAATTGCCAACAGGATGAATTCAAGGAGCAAAAAAGAGAATATGCAGAATAAAAAGACAATGGTAGGAGTAGACATGAGTAAATAGAAAGATAATCAGATTGATATCAATCCAATTATGTTCGAGTTGCCACTGTTTTGTTTCAAAATGTGTCCATAATGTGTGGATATTTACGAAGTTTCATAATGCTCAAGATGTACGGAAAAGGCAACACTGTATATTTTTGGAGTATGCAAAGGGGAATTGATGGGGACATCAGATCAGCGTGGAAGGTTTATCAGAGACGTGGCCGCCGATCTACGGTCACGATCGAGTCCTTGTATTTCTGAGTCATGATTGTATTTTATTTTATTTATGCATTTTCTATTTGCTTAGGTGTCGTTATTATTTCCCTTTGTACCCCTTTCAAGGGAGTGGTCGCATGTAAGCCCAAAGGGCAAGTTGGTCTTTTATTTTCTTGAGTCTTTGTACCCGGCTATTTATAGTCTCATTTCCTTTGTTTTGAGCTAATGAATAAATGAATGATTATTTGAGAATTTTGTCTTCTTGTTTGGAGTTCTTGAGAGAGCTTGAGATATCGGAGAGGGATCCCTAGGAGAGGGAGATTAGATCACCCACCAACCTTGGAGACGGCCGGGTTCGTGGTCTTTCTTTATCGTTGTTTTCTTTTCCTTCCACCACCACCGGTTATCTTTACACCCAAACCTTTTTTTTTTATCCCCAAGCCATCGTCGCCCCCAACCGAGCTCCACACATAATTCCCCACAAGCCACCGACCTCCTTGGTCGAACCCCTCATCCCGCCAGCCCCTTTTCTGCCAACCTCCCCTTGCTTCCTTGCCAATTTCGGGTTGCCTAATTTAGGGGCTGATTTAAAATTCGAATTCAAATAATTTGAGTTTTGAAATCTTTCCTAAAATTAGTTATTTTTGGAAAGATTCTAAATTGACACTGTTTTGAATTCAAATTTAAATAGAGTCAATTAAATACTTTCCTAAGTTCCAATCCAATTTAAGCAAGCTTGTACACATGGCACCAAATCCCAATCCCCATAATATTGCCGCCAGCCCCCTTCTCCAATTAGCCCAGCAATTTCCACTTAATTATTTCCTGATTCTAAGTCCCTCCTTTGGAAAGAAAAAATTACAATTCCTGTAATTCTTATCTGGCCGAAACCTTCATTCATATCTTGGCTCTTTATTATTTCCTAATACTAAAGGTTGGCTTTAGGAAACATGAGCTCCCCCCTCTCAATCCCGCCGACTCTCTCTCTCTGTCACGGCTCCTACTCTCTCCTGATTGCATTAGCTAAATTCTCTCTTCCAAAACCTGTAAAGGAAGTTGGCTCTCAACTTTCTATTCACAACCAAGGCTAGACTCCTCTTCTAGTTTTCTACATCCCAGCCTACCAAAACCTGAGAACTCCTCTCAGATTTTTCTTGATGAAAATCTGAAATTGTTTTCAGATTATAGGAGAGGAGATTTGGGAGCTTGCAATCTCTCTCATACCAAGAGAAACTCCTTTCTCTTTGTTACTACGCAAGAAGCACATCAAGTGCTAAGGGATCTTCTTCTACCATCCATGAATGACGGACCCGGCAACTGACTACGACATTACTTGGGACGAAGATGGATTCACCGACATTCTCCAATCTACTTTCTTCGACGTGAACCCAAGCATCGACCACACCATTGAAGACTACGTGGAGTGCATCCTGTTTGCTTTGACGGAAGCCATTGACGAACACTTCGAAGGCCTTGAGTGGAGGATCTCCACCTCTCCTTAGCAAAGGTTTCTCTTTCACTTGCATCTTATTTCTTTTAAGTCTAAATTCTCATTGGTGTGATTGTATTCGTGAAAGTCTCCTCCAAGTGCTCTTGCTAAGCTTAGTAATCATAGGAATTGAGCGTACTTTCTTTGCATCCTAATTCTCGTTGTTAGATTAGGGATTAATTTGAAGACTACTATTTTGTATTGTATTTATTTTTCTTATTTATCTTGAAAGTTCAAAGCTCGGAGCATGTGATTTAGCCTAAGCAAAATATCTGCTTAATTGTTTTACTCTTCGTTGAGAATTGCTAGTAATTTTATTCTAAAATTATTCTAATCTAAGAATTGTGCAATGCCTAAGTGAATCCATAAGCATCTCATCTAAGTAGTCCTGCATCAGAAATATACTATATTTGATATATGATTGGAATTAAATTGTAAACAATTTCAATCCCATGAGTTCACATATGCCAAACAAAGCCGTCAAATATACCATCAATACTAACAAAGCACTCCACTACTTCACTGAAAAAGGATGCTTCCTCGCATGACTAGAAGAGCAATAAGCTGTTAACTATCCACCATTTATGTGTTACTAGTAAACAATCCCTAGTGTGTACTTATTAAATGAAAACATTAAATAACTTCTAACCAGGGACTTATTTAAACGACATTCTTAAACTTCTAAAGTTGGATCTGAATGCCTGCCTCACCAATTATACTATTTTAACTATAAGCCATCTAGTGACATCAAAACGAATGTGCATTTGCTAATATACACAAAAACAAATGAACTTTATATTTGATGTGTTTATCTGTTGAAGAAAGTTTACTATTTATATCTTATCACACAATACCATAACTTTTTGCAATTCACATAGCTAAATGTGATAAATTCCGCAACTAGCAACTCAAATAAGCTGCATGAAAATTTGAGAAATATAAGCTCGGTAATAGGAAGAATCAATTATTCAATATGATGTTATGAAATGAATGACAGCATAAACATGGAAAGATATTCATATTTAAGACGCACCTATTTTTCTGTGATTCATTTCCAGGATCCTGCACGTATGTTGGAAGAATTAAATGTAGAAGCAAAATTCATAAACAAACTCAAAATAAATCAACATAAAGAACAGAAATAGAAAATAAAAAGAAACACTTGAAGAGAATCATCAAGACAAGTGATAAGTTGACAAATAGAATGAACTAACAGTAAGATTTTGTTCCCCAGCATTGAACTAAAATAACTTCAAGCATTAACAATTAAGAAGCTTCGAACACATGTTTCAGTTAATATAATGGCTCCAGGAATAACAGACCTTTTGACTGCACTAACTTTGGGGTGCTGGCTTTCACATCAATAGCTATGCGACTTTGGTTTTTAGGAGAGAACAGCAAGCATAGACTTTCAATAACTATTACAAGATAACCCAATTTTAGAACTTCGGATTTGTGGGTATATCGTATTCCATAGACCATTCAGTTATCAGAATATTGAAAGCTCTTGTTGGCTAAAGCTAACACAACCAATCAAACACTGACTTCTACACAGAAAAAACTACACATCACCAGCACATGCATCCAGGGCCTATAAAGCTCCACTAAAGAAGCCAACATTGATTAGAAAAACCGCAACCAAAATGACCTAATTCAGCAAACAGCTCACCTAAAATGCCTATTTTGTTGATGTCCAGCACATCAAGGCCTTTGCTACACCAAAAGAGGCAACAATGAAGGGGGATGCAGCCACTCATGCTTATTCCTTGAATATTTTCATCTCAAGGGGTGACAGAAATTCCCAAGGAATAGCATAATGGTAGTTTCAAATTGCTAACTGATGCAACCATTCCTTGTTTCGAATTTTGAAAACAATTATTAGATATGTAGTTAGTTTTTTAATAAGTATATTCCCACACATTTCAAGCATATCCAATGGATGCTTCCCTCAACTAAACTATTATTAGGAAACTATTAAAACTAATTAACCTTAAAATTATGATCTTGAAATAATCTCTTCTTCATAGAATCGATTCTTTCTATCAACCCAATTATCCCCTCTTTTATGTCACTCGAACTAAGTATATTCACACTAATGAACATGAATTAGATCCCAAGAACAAAAACATTTAGTCTCACTTCCTCTTCACTGTTCAACAAATCTCCACATAAAAACCATTTTATATACAATCCAATTTCATCAATGACTAGCCCTTCTCTAGCAGCTCTACATTTTGGAAATTAGCTCACCCTTCCTTTGGTGGAATTTTGTCATCCTCAATAAAAAGGAATATTTTATGATCAAGCACGTCATAGAAAATAATATATTACCTTGAATGATAAAAATATTATTTTAATATGTTTTTAGTAACAAAATTTGCATTTATATTTTACCAGAGACTTTTCGCTACTTGATATATTTGATCGATTAGGGTTTTTTTTAGTTTGGGGTACAAGTTTTTGGGCTCCGAAAATTCGTGCCCCATCCTTCCCACTGCGCTTTCGCTTTTTGCTGTCGGGGGTAGTCTTAATAGATTAAGTTCCGGTGAAAATTTTAGGAAGACAGATTGGAATTGTAGGTAAGGCACACCCAGAAATTTCGTTCTCGTTTCCAAATATCTCATTGTTCTAATATAGACTCTCTTTTCTCATTCACTGGGAGATCGGATTTATAAATCAACTGACCGTTGTTCGGATTGGGTAAACACATCTAAACGAGATGAGGTCGTTTGGTGATAAATGATGTCTCACAAGCTGGTGGGAATAGAGGCTCGGTCAGTGCATTGTTATACTGCTTTGTCTCCAATTTGTCACGAGCTTGCAACCCTTAGTTGGTCGCCTATCAGTTGATATCTCTACACTGCTAAGGGTGCGCTTCATGACATTCTGGAAGGACTCATCCTTCATGAATTTAGGTAGTACTAATTTGAGAATATTGAAGAATTCCTTTACATGATTTTGGAATAGTGTGCCTGAAAGTACTACCCCTGAGGTGTCTTAATTCTTGAAAGTGAATGCACAATAGCAGTGTTGTTATTTCTTCGGATATGGAATTCATCTCTTCTTTATTCCTGCCTCTTCAAAATATTTATCTATTGTGCTTTATGATCTGCCTTAGAGGAATAGAAATCAAATAAGGGTATGTATTCCAATTACCATTGCTGGAACTCTCTTCCATATGCTTAAGATCCTCCTTAGGGAGAATCACCAATGGTCTTTTATCAGGTTTCTGAGTAATAAAGCTCTGCATAAATCTTATAAGCATAAATGTTTTTCCAGATCCTGGGGCATGAGCAAGGATGTGTCCACCTGGTTCTTCTGCCCTAAGATTTTTGGCAAGGAAACTGAAGCCCTCTATTTGACGTGGCTTCATCAGCTTCTTATGCCTCAAGATCAATGCCAAGATCAATTGCAGCATCTCAATCATCGTTGTTGTAGGTGTTTGTAGGAGAAGAGTATTGTTGTGCATATTCATCACTGGTCGTTAGTCACTTGGGTAGATTCATATACTCATCTGCATACTAACACTGACCATTGCATGTTGTTGACTGTAGTCACATATATCTAACAACTGTTTGTATGTGTCGTACGTACTTGTGTCCACCGAGGATTCATTATACTCATGATATACCCACTATCGTTATCCACAAGTATCATATCAACTATCACTACTTGCAGGGGATGTTCATGTTCACTATAATCTTCTAGATGTACTTGGTGACCTTTGAGGGAGGAAGATGACTAACCTGTAGGTGAAGTTTATAGGAGATTTCTATGGCTTTCTAAACCTATAGGAATGAGTAGTTTATAACTTAAGAGGTTATAAATCAAGAGATTCATTGAATTTTTGTGCTCAAAGAAAGAGATTCGCATTCACTTACTTTTTGTTAAGCGAGTAGACGTGGCAAGAATTTTAGTCCTAACTTGAAGTGAGGATCTTTTATTGATTTTAGGTTCAACAAGAAAACCAACTAGACTTAAAATTTGATCTGAAGAATTTCAAATTACTCTTTTGAACTCCTAGAGAGCATTTAGAAATCTCATAGGAGCATCCAAAAAGACATCATGCAAGGGATTAAAGAGCTTCCTATGGCTTTTAGGCTAAGGAAAATCATAGATTTTCTATAATTTTTTAATACAAGAAAAAAGGAAATGGAATGTGCAACTTAGGGGAGGTTATTTGAACATCTAATGTTCAAAGAGAGATTCATAAGCCTAATTTGGAGCTAAATAAATGAAGAAGACTAGGATTTGGGTCCTATATCCAAGGGATCATTTATTAGTTTTGGATTCAACAAATGAGCTAAGAGAATTTAGGATTTGATCCTAAGATTCAAGAGTTTATGACATGATGTGTTTAGGACTTTAAGGAATTCCAAAATAACATACACAAGAAAGGCTGATGATAACTCCTAAAGGATGCTATAATTCATGTAATGGGAAAGGCCTGGGAGTCTCCAAAAGAAAGATAAGGTATGCTTATGGGCCTTTGAGGGTCTAGAGAATACCACAAACTATTCTCACAAACACCTAGAATTAGATGAGCATATTCATGAATATTACAAATTTTGGATAGTGATGAACCTAGCAAGGGGCCTATGACATGCATCTTCTTTAAGTTTGTGCAAGTCAATTCAAACCCTAACACCATGCAATTTTGTTTAGTCAAGTGCATGGCTAGCAAATTTGAGCTTAATGGCTTCAAAACCTAGGTTTTATTGTAGGCAATGGATGGGGTCCAATATGAATGTGAATTCATGCCTTTGGGGGTCGTTGAACACTAGAATAATGACCCTATGCACAACTATTTCCTTGGGCTCACACATGAAAGCAAGCATATGAAAATCGCAGGATTTCCACCATTTTGTGGAGAGGACAACAGACATGGGATTATTTTTTAGCTTGAAAAAATGTAAAGCGGGGGTTTATAAGGACCTAATGGCTTGAGAGGGTCAACCACACATCCAAAGGGAAGATAGACCTAGATTCCTAAGTTTATGGATTCTTACCTTGCCAAAACCAATGTATGAAGGTTTTGGCCATAGCACCTTTATCTAGAAGAGATAAAGGCGACTAAAATGAACAAAATCTTATTGTTAAAGCTATCACAAATGTCGTTTCCATCATGAACTTGTCGTAGTCGATGATAAAAGAGGGAAAAAGCTCTCCACTACCACTTGGTTGCAGAGGATGCAAGCTACAACAACTTCCTTCTTGCTCTCAGTTTTGGGAGAATGACAGAAGCAGAAGATGCTCCTATCTCCTAATTGAGAAGAAAAAATATCTCCTCGATTTCGAGAGGTCGCACATAAGAGGAAAACTTCACTAGCCGCTCGATCCTTACTCAATATGTCTCCAACACATGCATGGAAGCCCCCACAACCACTCGTTCCTTGCTCGGTTTGGCCTAGAAACGTAAGAAGGAACCTTCTCGCTCGCTCGCTCCCTCTCCTGCTCAACGTGAATCACCAGATGCTGGGCTCTCCACGAACGAACAGCAGCTTTCATTCTTGCTCTCTATTCATCTTGGTAGCTCATAGAAAGCACGAAAGAAAGGAACAAATGATCCTCCCTCTCTCTCTCTCTCTCAATATGCCCAAAATTGAAATTCCTTCCCTCCCCTTTTGCTCTCTGGCTCACGTGAATAGACCCTCGGCCTACTACAGCTAACATAAATCACAAAAATACTAGGATCGAACAGGGGAAAGAGCTCTCCAATTTTAAGGTAATCAGAGTTGTTGGATTGAATTTCTTGATATGGAAGGTCAATTGGGTTTAAATTGAATCAATTAAGCTTGAATTGAGTTCGAATTGAGTTTGATTTGGATCAATTTGAGTTGATCTGATTTAATTTGGGTTTGATTTGAGTTTAATTGAGCTAATTGAACTCAATCGGGCCTAGTCGGGTCAACACATATCAACACCATCCTACCCAATCCTCTAAAAAATAACGAAACCAATTTAAGCTGCATAGTTCATTACAACTCCACATTTTGTATAAGGTCTAAAAAATGGCTACTCAAACACCATTTCCCAAAGATCTGAATAGTTGAATTTCCCCT